AGGCCTGGCGCGATATGGTTCATGGGGTCACGAAGAGTCGGACACGACTTAACGACTGAACAACAAATATGATAATACTCATTTGTGTTGAGTGAACTCAGTCTTTGTGTGAAAGTTATCTATTCCCTTGATCCCAAGCAAATAAGTAATGTCTGCATGCTCTGTTTGCGATGTGCCTTGAATGGCTCACTCTGACATATTTGCAAGACACTTCGAAGAAAAAATTTACTTATTTCTGACATGACCTGGACTTTACTTTGATATGCTTCCATTCCTGGACTTGAGTTTGTGGACAATTTCCTTGGATGGTGTTAACCAACCGCCTATCTAGAAGAATATCTATCTGGAGCCAGTTTGTTCTGATTTTTTCCTTGAGAAGAAAAAACAGGCCAGACTCTCTCTTGAAATGGTGATTAGGCTGCTTTTGATAAAAGCTGACCAGAAGATGTTGACAATTATAGGCTAGTACCAAACAACATTCTGTCTGGGCATAATTTGTAGATGATTGCTACTAAAAAGCTCGAGGGACTTTTGGGTTAAACTTATTTTCTAGATTTATTTTGATTGGGGAGTGGGGGTGAAAAGATTAATTTTACAAAGAAATGGAGAGGAAGAAGTACAATCCTCTTTAGGGTTCTCTTAGTAGCTTTTGATAATATTAACCTCGGATTGGTTGTCTGATTTGGGTTTGGAGGTATATTGTAATAAATTTCTGTGTTTTTGCTCTTACTTAGATGGTTGATTCCCAAAAGGGATGCTGTGAGATTATTGTTCTGCTCAATAGCAATTAAGATGTGCTCAAGACAGTTCTGTTTTAACTTCCATACTATTTAGCATATATCTGAAATTGTTTGGAAAGTTATCCAGGAGTATGAGCAATAGGTGACACCCTACTTTCTTCCATGCATGTTGGAACAGTGAGTGTTTTGAACCTATGCTTAGGCTTTGTGATAAATAGAATGAACTGGAACTTTATTTATTTATTAATCACATTTATATGGGCCCCCATCCCACAAGAAGTGACTCTGGGTGGCATACAACTTAATCTAAAGAAGACAAAAATATTGCTAGTGTATGGTTCATCTGCACAGTTGTGAGTTGCACAGTTAAGTGGTGCACAATGGCTTTGGATGGGACTTTATTCAAGAATCAGGTTGATAATTTAGGTATGATGTAGGATCCAGGACTGTTCTGGAAGCACAGGAAGCTTAAAGTGCTCTGAATGCCTTTTACCAACTTTGATTTATATGCAAAATACGCTTCTTCCTTGGCAGAGATAGGTTTGTGATATTTATCCATGCTTTGATTGCTGTTTGTGTGGATTGTTGCATTGCGTTTTAGGCCTTGGAAAACAATCTGATGGAGTGAGTTTATTAATGGGCATTGGTAGACATTATTGCATTATGACAATTCTTTTTCAATTGCAGTACCTGCTAGCTTGTCTGTGGGCCCCTCTGAAGTCTTGTTACTTACTCTGTTCTGAGGTTACATAAGATAAATCAAGATAAATCAGTCAAGTCTGAGCTGGCAGGGTCAATGTAGAAGTCCTTTGCCAGACAGGGTTGCAGGAAACAGGATCTTGCTGATTAAATTCCTTCTTGTTAGGCTGCCTGTTAGGATAATTGATAAAATGTTGTAGTTTATGGCCTAAGCAATGCTGGAACGCTAGCCGCAGCCTTACATAGACAGCTATATCCTCCTCATCTGCATTTATTTTCTATTTTGTTCACCAAAATCTTTTACCTTTTTCTCATATCAGTGTACAAATTACAGGTTTCTAGTATCCATGCATGGCATCCTGGGTGATCACTGAGTCACTCAAGAGAATATGAGTTTTGGTATCTTGAGGGGCTCAGCATTTTCTATAGTTATAAGATGGTGGGGGGGGTTTTTTGTTTTTTTTTTGGTGCATTCAAGTCAGTGTTGACTCCTGGTGGCTGCCTGAACAAGTTCCTGCAGTTTTATTAGCAAGATTTCAGAAATGCTTTGCCATTGCCTCCTTCCTAGGGCTGAGAGAGAGGGGCTGGCCCAAGGTCACCCAGCTTCGTGCCTAAGATGGGATTAGAACTCATGTTCTCCTGGTTTCTAGCCTGGTTCCTTAACCATTACCAATTGACTTATGACAATTCATTTGGTGATAATTTGAAGTTACAACGGTGCTGAACGAATGGTGGTTATGACTGGTCCTTGGAGTTACAACCATCCCAGCACCCCCATGGTTACATGATCATGATCTGGTGCTTGGCAATCCATTTGCACTTATGACCAGTTGCCAAGCACTCCACGATCATGTGATTGCCAATTGCAAGCTTCCCTGCTGGCTTCCCCATTGTCTTTGTGGGGAAGCTGGCAGGGAAGGTTGCAAGTTGCTGGGGTAAATCTCCCCTACCCACGCAACCTCTCCTAGCCCCTCTGCGCTCATGCTGCATCGGCCGTTCGTGCACCCCCATGCACCCTCCCTGACCTGCACAGCACCTCTCATGCACTGTCATGAACCCTCCCCAACCTGCACAGCGCCTCTTGCACACCACCTTGCACCCTCACACACCTTCCCCAACCCTCCCCTGCACCCCCCTGCACCCCCTCACTCCCCCACCAAGCAGCAGCTGCTTACCTGTTTGCTGCAACTTCCTGCTGGCTTCCCCACTGACTTTGGTTGTGGGAAGCCGAGAGGAAGTTGCCTTGGCTAACAACTGTGGATTCAATTAACGACGGCAACCGGGACTGCAGGGATTGCCGTTGCTAAGGGATGTGGTTGCACTTTACAACCGCATTGCTTAGCAATGGAAATTCCGGTCCCAACTGTCGTAAGGACTTAAGACAATTATGTATTATGTATTACGACAATTACGTATACCATTACATATGCCAAACTGGCTCTTAGAGTTATAAATAGAAAGGAGGTATTTATTGATGTGGATAAAATAAATAACTAATAATATGGGGCCTCTTTTTAGTATAGCAAAGAAAATAAATTGGAAATATATTGCTAAATGAATAAATAATAAATATATTCCTGACTGATCAGTGGAAATTCAACTGAGGAAATAGCATGTTTTAAATACCTGGGAGTAGTTTTTCATGTGTCTGCTTCAGAAAAGTTCATTGAACGAATGTGACACAGAATTCTCAGTGGACAGCTGCTGCCATCCTTTTTTCAGAATAAAGGTGACTACTGTATACCTGCAGCCCTTAAACTTTTCAAAGCCAAATACATGGCACAACTTTTATATGGAGCTAGGCCCTTTTGCTTACTTTGTCTGCTTGGAACTTGTATGATCAAAGTTTCTAAGGACTGCAAGTACCTTGGTGCCTTTCACATACTGCAACATAGAGATGGGCATGATGAAGGTGGGGCTAAGGTATAGATAGCCATACTGACCTTCTGATTAAGGTTATCCTTCTCTAATTAGGATTAGCTCCATTAATGTTTATGGAAGGTTTCCAATCTGCATGGAGATACCTATACAGGTGGTCCTCGACTTATGACCACAATTGGGACTGGAATTTCCGTCGTTAAGCAATGCGGTTGTAAAGTGCAATATCATGTAACCATATCTCTTAGTGACCAGCAATCCTGGCACTCCCCAATGCCATTGTTAAGCGAATTCCACCGATCATTAGCTGAGGACCCACCCCAATCCAAGCCATTCCAGGCTTGGTCCCTCCCAGCCCTAAGCCTTGGTTCTTCCAAGGTAAGGGACTGCCTCCCCTTCACCTTCCCCCAGTTGCCTATTCCTCCCCATCTCTGCCCTTTTGGCTGCCCTGCACCCTGCCTTGCGGGGTTGCAAGCAGCCCCAGAACTGCATGGCTCTGGGCTGTTTGCCATGCTGCAGCTCAGGGGCTTCTTGGTGTGCCACAGCTCTGGGGCTGCAGGAAACCTTTGAGCCGCAGTGTAGTGCAAAGCCACAGCCGCCCCTGGAAGCCCTAGCTACTGCAGCCCAGCCCAAGAGCATGGCACAAGGCTGCAGTATCTCAGGAAGCCCCAGCAGCTCAGTGCAAAGCTGCCACGCCCCAGGGAAGGCCCAGATACCCCAAGCCAGTTCCAGCTGTAGTCACCCTCACCACCCTGCACTCCGAGGCCCCTACCACCCTGCACTCCGCTGCCCTAGCTGACCTTCGCCATCTTCTTGCTCCTGCTTCTGACCAAGCATGCCCAGCTGGCCTTTCATGAGGCAGCTGCTGGCCATGTGAGGCCATCTTCCCCAGGTCTCACAAGGAAACTACCATGCGCAACCTTGGGAAGAAAGCCTCATGTGGCCAGAAGCTGCCTCGTGAAGGGCCAGTCAGGCATGCTTGGTCAGTGGGAGTAAGAAGAAGCGAAGGTCAGCTAGGGCAGCATGGGCTGTGGAGTGCAGGGGCCAAAAGGGCATAGATAGTGGGGAAGTGGGTGGATGGGAGTTGAAGCACCCCATGGTTGTAAGTGTGAGGGGCTGCCAGGTGCCCAAATTTTGATCATGTGACTGCAGGCAATGGCCATAACTTCAGGGACAGGTCATAAGTATCTTTGTGCGGCACCGCTGTAACTTTGAACGGTTGCTGAACAAATGGTCATAAGTTGAGGATTACCTGTATTGAAGAAATTCTCTGTACTGGGGCTGTCTCCCACCTTTGTACTTCCAGTGGGATATGACCATGCTAGAACCCTCATAATGTAATAGGTTATTATTGTAATGTGACTAGATCCTATTCCAGAGTTAGGGTTAGAGCTAGGGCCAAGATTATTTAAGTTACTGAAGTTAATTTAGTGCAATTTAAAGTAACTCATACATCTTAGAATGTCAGATTTACTCATGTATAGCTCTTAATTCTATTGATTTTACCTTTAATGTTATAGTATAACATGTATAACAATATACCATTTTTAGACTCACCCACTACCATTCAGGAGTAGTTGAAACTGTGGACTATGTGCTACCATATTGCTTTTTTTATGATGAAATTTATCACATGTACCTAACTCTACTTCTAAAGGGGTTGCTGGTAGACCAGACAAATCCTGCATTTCATTTCTTACAGACCATAATGCTGACATTACCTTTACAGTCGCCAGCTTTTTTTTAGAGCTTGTATCATTAGGTAACAGATAGTATAACATGTCAATTATTACTCAGTCTGACTACAAACAAAATATGTAATTTAGCAATTCTATCTAAAATTTTATATTAAGTTTATTTAATACTACTGTATTTTATAACTGAGAATGTTATTTTATACTTTTGCAAAGTAGTTTTGTAATTTATTGATGTAATCTTAAGTATTTAAACTTTTAATGCTGTAGTACTTGTATTTTATTGCTTTATTTTATTTTTACCTAATTTAATCAGAAATTTTAATGTTTTTCCATCTGAATTCTGTAAACGCTATTATGAATCTATAGTTCTTATTTTATATTATGAAGCTATAGTTATTATGAAGGAGTTCTGGTCAGTGACTATAATAAAGATGTTCTATAAAATACACATTTATAGTATTTGATTTATAATTTTAGTTATAGATTTAATTTACAGGTATTTTGTGGTAAACATTAAAAAGCTTATTAACACCTATTATAGATATAAAATACTGGATTAATTTTGTTTTATCAATTTTACATTTTATGCTGGTCAGAGACCAAAATAGGCAGACTCAACTTGCCTACTGAATTACTTGGAGGTATTATGTTTCATATTTCACAATACTATGCCTCAGGGTCCAATGTCACTTACAGTGAACATTTCAGTCTCATTCTTCAGGTTACACTGATTTGAATGCTGCTGTATCTGAGGCTGTTTCCGTTCCCAGCATAGATCTCATTGGATCTACCTCTCTCTGCTTACTGTTGTGTAGCTCTCTCAACCCCATGAACAACAGCCAGATGAATGGAAGAGATTAATCAAGGTCCATCATTCTGCTATTAAGAATTCTAGCAGGAAATTTCTTTCTTTCACTATAGCTGGATATTTTCTTTGTTTATTTTTTTTAACAACTCTGTAGTTTTGACTGCTGTGATCAGCTGTTGTTGTGTTAGGTTTAAGTGCAATTAATATTATATGATTTTTAATTTCATAGTACCTTGAGTTGTACCTGGAAATAAGAATATAAATTTTAAATTACTTCTTACTCCAACCAGTATCAGCCCAAACAATTAGATCAAACAAAGAGAAACTGTTACTGATCCCACCTTTTTGGGAGGTCTGGGCGGGGATGAAGCAAGATGGTGCTGCTTTTCTGTGGCAGTGCTAACGCTGTGGAACAGCCTCCAGGTTGAGGTCAAGGTAGCCCCCTCCTTTATATTTCAAAAGCTTTTAAGACAAAGTTGTTTCAGTGTGTCTTCTCCTGATTTGATTAGGCCATCTTTATTTCCTGTTTCTATTGTTTGTAGTTTTATGTTTGGGTAGTGTTGTTTTACTGTTTTTATGGTTGTTATACTGTCTTTGTGTTACTTAGTTTTTATAATCCATGTAAGCTGCTGAGTCTCTTTGGATTGTGATGGGTAGAAATGTTGGAAATAAATAATTATTCCTGCTTAATTCTGTTCATTTACTCTTTTGCTCTAAAGTTTGTGTAGGAGACTCATTACTTCACCATACCTGGTAATAGTCTGCTTTGCAAAAGCGTAAAAAATAAGTTCTCTCTCTCTCTCTCTCTCCCTCCCTCCCTCCCTCCCATGTTTGCTCTTGCCTTTTAATATTATATTTTTCACATTTTACTTGGGCCATTGAAGTGCCATTTCAGTACCCTTTGCTTTATACTTCAGTTATCCCTGAGTCCTTTTTCGAATACATTTGTTAATACTAGGTTTCATGGTCTGTGATGGATCTAGATTTAACTCTCCTCCAGGCCTGGTAGAAAGAGACTTTCCACATGTCCTCTTCCCCATAACAACCTTTTTGTCCCGCTGAAAATGTTACACCAAGAGTGGAGTGGATCTACTGAATGGGGTCAGACTGGTGAGAGGTAGAGCGGGTTAAAGTTCCATGGACATTGGGAAGCACTTTTAGCTTTCACCCTGTAGGTACTCCCCACACTTTCTAAAATGTTTATAGGTGACTTGTTTCACTGCTGTGAAGACAAGCAGTCACAAATCAGTCTCTGCCAGTTCAAATGTACAGCCTAAATCTGGATCTACCCCATTGTTTGTTTACATTAGATACATTCCTGTAAGAGGGGACAATAATTTAATTTTGTGGTATAACTTTGATGGTTTGAAAACTGAAAAAAATGGCTTAGAACAGAACATGTTTTATTCAACACTTGAATAAAAGTGAAGTGAAAACTGATCATAATCAATTTACACTCTTCTTGCTAAGCAGATACCAAGGAACAATTTGCAGAGGAGGATGCCCAAACTGAAGTGGATGGCGACAAGAAGCTAACACCAGATCTCCAGTGCTCAGTCTCTGTGGACTCTGCGAAGACCAATAGTTCTGTTGGTGTTGAAGCAAAAAGCAGGTTAGCAGGGCAAATTCAGAATGAGTGGGAGGATGACTGAGACTTTTAATTGTCACCTGCTACTTTTCTTAGATGATATTTGTTTTGTGCTTAAATGGTTTAATTGTATTTGTTTTGTTCATTCCTAACCAAGAGAGATGGATGCATGCATGCATATTTAGTTACTTACTTACATTATTAATCATATTTATATAGCCGCCCATCTCACACAAGGTGACTCTGGGCAGCGTACAATAATTTAAAAAATAAATAGATAAAAACAACTACAAATAAAACACTGTAAAAACACACCTTTTCTGTAACTTTACCTTTTCTGTAACTCTAAATTTATAATAGTGATTCAGATGAAATAGAAGTCAGTTCATTTATAAACTAAATTTTAAAATAGATTTATTCCGCCTTTCTACTTTAAAAAAAGAAGCACTGAAAGTAGCTGTGGACCACTGGTTTTTTTTTTTTTTTTTTTTTTTTTCACAAGAATATCTTAGCAAATTGAGTGACTAAATGTTCAAATTGATTGTAGAATAAGGAAGCAGGACTGAATTTAGAACACAAGTGCACAGCCTGTGTGGCCAACACATTTTGGGGGTAGGCTGAGGGTCATACGTGGGTGGGAGGCTGACATTTTGCAGAGGTTCTTTTTTTTATTATTATAATGTGCCTATTTTACACTGTAGTTTTCATTTTCAACTGGTGAGCAACAATGCTGTCAGTTTTTAGCAGACCTAGTCAACAAGGGAAAGGGAATCCCTGTCTTAGGACAACATGGTTTTCCCCAAGCCTTAGGTTGGCTTCTCTGAGACCTTCCTGAGGATGCTGCCAAATTATGATTTTAATCTAACAGAAAAATCTGTTAAATATATAGTGTCTAATATAAACTGTATTTAATTAATTAATTTTAAATTTAAATTTTTAAATTTACTGTAGTTACATTCACAATTAAATTTAAAGTTTCGTCCTGCCTCTGTCAATTTCCATAGTGCAGCTCCTGACATGCTACTCAAAGTCTTGATGTACCCTTCAGCCTGAAGAGTTGCTCACTGTAGTACGGGCAGTCCAAGAATCCTTGACATTACATTTTCTTAGTCATAGGAGAGAACTATGTGAAGAGATTTACAGATAAAGTTGGATCTAATTTGAATATTCATAGTTTATTGACTGTATTTAATGTAATTGGATAGTGAAATTTCTGTTTTATTCAATTTTTTTAAATTCTGTATTTTTAAATAGCATTTGAACTTTCCCTTTTGCTTTTCTGGTGTGTGTGTGGTTTTTTTTTTTTTTTGGTCTGCCTGTTTTAGCAATGAACAGGTCTGCGCCTTTTGTTACTGTGGGGAACGCAGCTCATTAGGACAAGGAGAGCTTAAACAATTCAGTCCGACCCCAGGGTTTATTGCTCCATGGAACATCCAGCCCTTAAATATGAGTGAAACTGTTGACAGTGATGATACCATTGGTGAGAGTACTCCAAGGCAGAACCCAGTCCTCCACAAAACAAGAGGACAAAAAAAGTAAGCATTTCTATCCCTTACAAAATAACCTATTTTATTTAATATTGCAGTTTTCTCTCTCGGCACAAAGAAATATATTTTGAAGTCATGTGTGGATTTTGTGTTTGTGTCTCTGTGTTTAATAAAATAAATATTAAATGTTGGCATAACATACATTCAGAATATTTTCTAAGTGGGAACCGAAAATCAAAAATAGAAATTTCTGACTCACAAAATATAAGAATACATTTATTGACAGAAAATTAGAAGGATAAAGGTAGAAATGCACACACACAAACACACACATGCACAGTCCTAGAGCAAGGGCGGTTAGAAGCTAGGATAAGCAGGATTTAGACTGGGAGGCTGCAGCATGAACATGCAGATTAATGTTTGAGGCATTCACATCACAGGGTGGTTGTATAGTTGCAATTCTGTAATCTTTGGAAGGGTAGGATACATACGTAGTATGCACAGCTGACAAGCAGTTCTGTCAGCTTAATGTGCTTCCATAAGAACATCTGAAATGAGGACTTTTTTTTAAATCCCATTTTGTCATTATCGATGGTACTGTTTCTTCATTTTTGCATTTATTTAATATTATCTATGCCTAAAGGAGCATTTTATAGTAGCTGTTTTTTGAGAGCTTGAATGATGCACATATATGTTGAAAAAATGTTCATGAAATTACATTAAAAGAGCCTCAGGCTGATTAATCGAGGTTTTTGTAGCTTATGGGAAAGTGCAAAATTAATTTACTTGGAACAGCTAACAAGCCCTGTCCCTGAGGATGGTGATGCAATCCTACCCGAGTGCCATTCTGGCTGGTCTCCAAGTTTAGCTACTAAAGGGATTGTTTGTTGGAGTTTCCTTATTGGTGGTGATTCCTGGGCTGCTGCCAGTCATTTAAAGTAGGAAATGAAACAAAAACAATGCAAAAAAAGTATTTGGAACAGACTTAAGGTGGATCGTTTTAAGGAGAGTCTTGATTATTATTTTTCCCTATTTTGCATCAGTTTTAAGTATAGAAACTTTTTAAGTAAAAAGTTCATTTATTCTATCTACATAGATAAATTGCTAAGTTATCAACACGTCCTTGTTTTCAATTAGATGTCACTAAGCCAAAAATAGGTATTTGAAGTATCTCAAATTTTTTGAATGTAGAGGTGAAATTTACAATAATATGAAATATAATTAGAGCATATTCCTGATAAGTATTAACAGTTTGATTGTCACTTTTGTCATGTTTCAGATCAAATTACATTTTTGTTTTTCCATCCATGTAATTTGTGCTCAAGTATTTTTTATTGTCTAAAAATGAAATGCAAATTATTTATATCTAGTCATATGAAATGAGTCAATAATTAATTTTAGTGTAATAATAAACATAATTGGTGTAGAAAATAAGGGAGATAACCTTGACAGTAATATGCAGGAACCATTGCCTGATGTATTAGAAGGATGGGAGGTTAAAGCACCATCAGACTTGTAAGATTCTGTTAGTATAGCCTATCTTTAAAAAGTATAGTTCTATTCTTCCTGTGGAGTTGATTTTCTGGTCCGGTCTATCTACTGGGGCTGACACCATTCTTGCAAGCCCGATGGTGCTTTTCTGCCCCTCCTTCTTATATCCCAGTGAATCAGGAAGGACCTACCTGAGTCATTTCTGAAAACTATCTTGCTTCTCAAGACTTAAAGAATGTTTCAGCCCTCTTTCCTTATGTAACACTTCTTGCATATTTCTGTCAAGGTCATTGCCCTTATTCTCTACAGTCAGTAGTCAAAAAGTCTTCATGAATTTATTCCAGTCCTAACATTTTTTGCTTCTGCAGTTGTTCCACAGAGATTACTCTACAAATGTGTATGGAACTGTTGATAATCCAACTTGTTTGTGTCTCATTTATGAGTAGTGGCCGATGTGTGCACTTGGGCTCCTTGTTTTTTTTAAAATTTGGAATTCTTAGCTTTCTGTGAAACATCCCAGTATGTGAGGAAAGCATTTTTCATCATTGGTAATATTTAGGTTTTTGTGCTAGATTTTATTTAATTGATTTATACTGCCACCCACCTTGCAAAGCTGGCTAATAACATGTTAAAACAACAAAAACAATATTGGCGAGGAATAACAAATCAACAGTGGTCACCAAGGATAACCCAAAAAAACAATTGACAGAGACCTCCCAACAGGCCATCTAACCTCCTGACCCCAGGCTCTGGAGCACATAAACGTCTTCAGTGCTTTACGAAAGGCCAGGGTTGGGGCCAATCTGATCTTGGGAGGCATGGTGTTCCAGTGGGTGGGCTCTATGATATAGGTACAGATATAAAAGTCCCTGAAGCTCTAGTTGGATTAGCATGGAAAAGTTTTGAGTTTTCTTTTCCAAAATTGAAAAATACAAATTATCTGGCACTATTCCCAAAGCCTGACATGCCTGAAAGACACTCCCCTATTTACTTGTTCTTTGCAAGTTACAGTTAAAGCAAACGTTGTAGACAGCTGTAATGGGAAGCAGGAATAACCTTGAGGAACAGGAAGAAGAGCCGCAACCAAGACAATGGTCAGATAAAAGAAATTTGAATCCAAGGCAGAAATGTAATTTGAGAAAGTGTCTCAGATTTGACCCTCCCTAGTTCCCACAAAGATAAAGGGAGGTGCGGGAGGCATATTCAGACTTGCAAGATTCTGTTACTGTAACCTTATAATAAAAGTAGTATCAGCATTCATAACTTTGGTTTCCTAGTCTGGTCTATCCTGAAGGGCTGACAACAGCAAATTGAAAGAAAATGTCCCTTTCATTCTCTGTCATCTTGTCATGCTGGGAACATTGTTAAAGCACAAATCCCAGTGAGGCCATGAAAAAATGGTTTCCCCAATGCAGGAGCAGTTACCCTTAAAGTTAGTATGTGACCCAGGAGAATTTAGTCAGCATCACTTCTCTGCACAAGTATGAATTGGGGTCACACTTGTTAGTTCTGGGACCCTCAATTGTCTTTATTCTACATGAAATTGATTTCTGCTAAGTGAAGTTACCATTTCATGTTGCATGCTATGCAGCAGAAATATAATTTCAGTCTACTGAGACATAGGAAAATATGGCATTTATTTCTTTTCTGTCTCTTTACTCCATGCTGCTGCCATTCCAAATCATCCTTTTAACAGGTGTATAGAGGAGACTTTATTTGTTCAGAATAAAGTTCAATTCATTCATGAAAGATCAACTAAATTACATATTATGTTCTCCAAGAATAATCCAATGCTGGTTGTATTTGGAAAAAAAAAGAGTAATTCACAATAAAGAAACAAATTAATCAGAATTTCAGTCACACTTGAATCAAATGAATTTTTAAAAATATAATTATTTCTTTATTGTCTAAAATATTTTATTTCTTTGTTAATATGTAAAATACATACTATGTCAGCTTTAATTATATAAACATTTCTTCTACTCTATACAGAGAGCAGAATATAACAACTTGTACATGTATAAGCACTCAAGCTACTCCTGATGATCAGGTAGTCAAAGTCTGGGATGAACTCAGAATGGTTGGCTTACCAGATGACATTGATGTCCAAGCCTTATTTGAGCCAACAGGTATTGTATTGCTTCACATATTCTTAACCAGATAACATTTAACTCACTCAAAGCATTGTATATTGTACTGATTCTTCCAGTTTTATTTATTTTTGCCTTTTTGAGGGGGCAATCTCTTTCTCTTTTAAAGGAAAAAATAGTAATACTATTCTATCATTGTAGCCATATGAAGTTTTAAGGATAAATCATTCTTTTACAAATTTGCTGGTGAATCTAAATATGAGTACATGTTGCAAGATCCAGCCTTAGGATCCTAATGAACCTTGTGAAATTTATAGGTAAAGTTTCCATTTAAAACTATTTAACTCACTGTAGTGTTACATTTTTCTTGCAGTTTTTCTACTATATATAGGTAAATATTTTAAGTCTGCTTTGCATTAATCATTGATCCAAGTTGGACTGGCTTCCTAGGCTTTACAGGGTCTTGCTAAGCCTGCTATCTCCTTTAATAGAGCGTGGTAGGACTGAAGACTAGAACTTTTAGCAGGTATAAGTAGAACTGAGCTATGATACTTAAAGATTAATACAACAGACAAATGTTTATCATATTGGAATGCCAGATTTACATCTGATGCCTTTAACAGCAGCTTCTTAGACTTATTTTTCATGGTGGCAAAGAAATAATTATGTAGCTAGTCTGGACAGTAGGCCTTTTTGCAGGGTTGAGGGTGAACAGAAATGCATGAGATAGCCAAAACATTCTAGTTCTCTGGAAGATGATCGTCCCCTAGACTAACAAGACCTTTGAAGAAGAGGCAGCTGTGAGTGGACATAGCTAAGCAACTAATATAACTCACAATTTCACAACTGAATGGGTGTAGACAGTAAGGCAACTAGAAATACTTATTTGACTTTTAGGATATGCAGGCCACCTTTAAGGACAAAGTCCTCCTAAAGTTGCTTACATGGATAAATTATATAAAACATGAATGCAAAATTAACACTAGCAATTCAAATGAAAAATCATTATTTATTAATGTTTGAATATGACGTTAAACAATTGCTCTTTTTCTCTGTTTGTTTACGAAGTAAGCCAGAAGCAAAACTATAAAATATATGGAGGGTAATATAAGATTAGCTTGTATGGAGGTAATATATTAAGGGAGAGACATTATGGATGTGATATTACTGATTTCAGTTTAGAAACAAATTCAGATTAGAGGCTACACACTAATCGGGCAACAGGAGAAGTGCTTTGTTGTGTCATAAATAGTCTTCTGCTATATTATTCATATTATATGAAGCATCTTCATGTCATATATTAGTAATATATATGAGTAAGAATTCATGAATTTGCTGAGAACTCAAATTTACAGAAATTCACATATGAGATTATAATGTTAGCTTTGTAATTTCAGACTGATTTGAATTTCTGATAGGATCAAGTTATGCCATTTGTCTCTCTGTTAATATCTATTATACAGTGGTGCTTTTGTCTTCTTCCTTTGAAGCTGAAAGTTAGATATTGTTTGGCAAAAGCTAATTAATTAATTTGCTAACATCATGTGTTAGGTTATTGCTGGGCTCATCACCGCTGTGCGGAATGGTCACTGGAAGTTTGCCAGACTGAAGAACAGCTGCCAGCGAATGTGGACAAAGCTGTTGTCTCAGGGAGCACAAAAGTGAGTCTGAAAATAATTAAGATTATATATTTTCTAAAAGTAAAATCTAAATTCTTGCATTTTCTCATAAATGCTGAAAACATCACTGAATGCAGTGGTGACGTTTGTATCTTCAAAATACATTTTTGTCCATATGAAACATGTTTTGCAATTATTAATTTGGATGATAAAATCAATACAAAAAAAAGTGGGAGGTGATATATTTCACTAGCAAAATGTAGGCCTCCAGAGAACCAAGTACAGTGGTACCTCGGGATACGAACTTAATCCGTTCCGTGACTCTGGTTGCAACT